AAAGAAGTGAAGGAGTGAAGAAGTGACTGAGTGAGTGAATGAGTAAGTGAGTGAAGGTGTGAGTGATCAAGTGTGTAAGTGAGTGAGTGAGTGAGGAGTGAATGAGTGAAGTATTGAGTGGGTGAATAAGTGAGTGAGTGAATGAAGGAGTAAAGGATTCAAAGAGTGAGTGAGCGAGTGTGTAAGTGAGTGAGTGAGTGAAGGACTGAGTGAGTATGTGACATGAATTACTTGGCTGCAGCCAATTTCGTCTAAGCGATAGTCTCGTAGGCCAACTACTCACTTACGAGATGAGTAGTCTTGTTGACTGCTACAGCAAATATAAGTCTGCTTCATCGACAATCACACCAAAGCGTGTGATATGCAAAACGCCTGACCCTCGTTCAAGTTGGCGTCCACACTCTGAGCCAAAAGGACTCTTGCCAATGCCGCCGAGTGGGACACGTTTCGAGGTTACACGCTGCCCCGGCACGGTTCGACGCCCGCTTCGGGTGTGGACATGGCCTGGACGAGGCCGAATCTAGCGTCCACTCGAGGTGGGATGAGAACGGCTTTTGTGAGTTGAAGACTGTGTGAAATGCAATTGTGGCAAAATCCAATTACCAGCCACTTCTCATTCGAGCGAAATGGGGCGAACACGAGCTTTTTCTTATTTTTCATTTTTGAGCATCCTCCAATTTCGTTGAAGCAATCAGTCTTCACAATTAGTTGATCTTTCCAGAGGCCAGTCTCATTTCGGCCAGAGTGGTTGAGAATGCCCATTGCATCGTAAGTCATAATCATTTGAGTTCGCTGGAGAACCTCAACTATCAACCTTTACATCCGCTCAAGCAACGAAGGCTGACTGAGCTCTTTTTCAACCATCGCCGATAGTCCCGATAGCCTTTCCCAATCGACAGAGTCCCTTTTGGCGAATGTTCTGCAAACATCAAGTCAATCTACGACCATCCAGCCTCTTTGTTCAACAGAATCAGCGCCCGATTGTGTGCAAACAGCCAATCGACAGCTGATCAGGAGGAATCCGCCGTCGTCTTCTGGTCGAATCCACCTTCGAATCTCTTCACTCCCAACACTTTCACTCGAACTGGAAGTAGGCTCAACAATTGTGCGAAAAGACATTCCTCGAAAGCCAACTTTTCTTGGCAAATAATCAAATAATGAGATGTATTCACCCTATTTCGTGTAAGGTGATGAAGGACTGGTAGAAGTAGAATTTTCGCACAAATGATATGAGTTGGACTGACGTTTCCATTGAATATTTACATAGCTTTGCATTCCAAAAAGTCTCGAAACCCTACTTTCTTACGAATATAAGTAACGTTGTCGATTTCTATAGCAGACATACGTTTGCTTCATCGGCACGACCACCAAAAGAATATGATATAGCAGAGGCCTGACCGTCCTTGAAACTCACTTATGCCCTGTGACTCAAGGGTGCTCCTCTTATACAAATATAAGTAACGTTGTCGATTGCTATAGCAAACATACGTTTGCTTCATCGGCACTCCCACCAATTACGGAGTAATCAAATAGTTTTGATGCACACGCTCCCGGTCTGGTCTGGAAAGTCGGTTGGCAAACGCAAAACCATATGCTCATTGCCAATTTGCACGAATTGTCAAGCCCTCCTAAAGCAAATGGCAACTGAAATTTCGCATTCCTTTGGCCCAATTTCTCAAATTCCCATCCACATTTGCCTCCTCGGCAGCAATTTCCGCCGCAATTATGCGTTTATCCGAACCAACCGGTTGCCACGAGTGCATTCAGCCCCTCCTTCTTCGCAACCCCCTCCACTCCCGTCGACCCGGCCGCGGCTCCATGACGGCCCAGATGACTGCACTTGTTGCTTTCCGGCCGGATCAGGCCAGATGCTGGACTCACATGTGCACTGACGCAGGTACAGTTGGCCGTCCAACCATCGACGAAAACCGCGAATGTGTCCAAGGCTCTCTGGAACCGGATAGTCGATTGAAGTAAACTATTTTAACACCAGTTTTGGCCAACTTTAGCTCCAGGTACCAAGATAATGCAATCAAGAGGCTGCAGAAGAAGAAGAAAGTAGCTCTTTGGTATGCAGGCAAAG